GCTCTTGGTTTGCTGGGTGGATGTAGGGGGCACAAGCAGAACCCCGTCAGGAGGGCTCTTGGTTTGCTGGGTGGATGTAGGGGGCACAAGCAGAATCCCGTCAGGAGGGTTCTCGGTCTGCCAGGTGGATGTGCGGGGCATGGAACCTCCCTGTGGGAAGCAGGGGAAGAGCATCCTCATGCCTTGGCCAGGTGGGGCCTGTGTTTCCCACACGACCCTGGTCTCTACTGTCTGGGGAGGGGCATCCTGTCCCACTGAGAAAAGAATAAGGAGCTTATGGTGGGAGCTATCCCAGGGCATTTGCATTAGCAGGTGTGGTGACCGGAGAGGAAAGTACTTCGTCCCATCGCCACCCTCCCATTCAGTCACCCCCACCCACTTAACACCCATCTGTCCCATCACCCCCCTTCCCATCCCTCCCTCTCCCTCCTTTCCTCAGTCACTTCCTTTTATCCGTCCATCCATCATCCATCCATCCATCCATCATCCATCATCCATCCATCCTTCATCCATTCATTTGTCCATCCATCATCCATCCATTTGTCCATCCGTTCATCCACCCATCTCTCCATCCATCCATCCATCCATTTGTCCATCCATTTGTCCGTCCATCCATCCATCCATCCACCCATCCATCCATCCATCCATCTTTCTACCCATCCACCTCCTATCCTTCCTTCCTTCCTTCCTTCCTTCCTTCCTTCCTTCCTTCCTTCCTTCCCTTTTATCCATTTTCTATCTCCTCACCCTTTTACTATCTCAACCATCAGTCCATCCACCCACCCACCTATCCATCCACCATCTATTAGACATCTACCCTGTGCCTGTCTGGCCTGGGGTGGTGCAGGTGGTTGTGTGCTGGGAGTTCCTTGACTGACCCTCCCTCACCCTAGTTGATGATGGTGACGGCTATGAGACGGACCACCAGGATTACTGTGAGGTGTGCCAGCAGGGTGGGGAGATCATCCTGTGCGACACCTGCCCACGGGCCTACCATCTCGTGTGCCTGGACCCAGAGCTGGAGAAGGCTCCCGAGGGGAAATGGAGCTGCCCCCACTGTGTAAGCCCTGACAGAGCCCTGGGCTGGGGGCGGGGCCGAGCCTGCTCCCACACCCCTGTGTTCCCTTGTGGGGGCAGAATGTCGAGAGGTGCTGGGGGGGAGGGAGGGAGTCGGGGCCCTGGTGGAGGGGGTACCTGGTCCAGGGTGCCTCCACCTGGCCTCCTCCCGCAGGAGAAGGAGGGGATCCAGTGGGAGCCGAAGGACGACGACGACGAAGAGGAGGAGGGCGGCTGCGAGGAGGAGGAGGACGACCACATGGAGTTCTGCCGCGTGTGCAAGGACGGGGGCGAGCTGCTCTGCTGCGACGCCTGCCCCTCCTCCTACCACCTGCACTGCCTCAACCCGCCGCTGCCCGAGATCCCAAACGGTGAATGGCTCTGCCCGCGCTGTACTGTGAGTGTTCCGCCGGCTCCGCGCCCGACGCCCCTCCCCACCCCAGGGACAGGCCCCGCCCCCCGAGGAAGGCCTGCCCTTCTCGATAGGCCCCGCCCCCGCCGGCTCCGGCCACGTCCCGGTAGCCGATCCCGCAAAGCCCCGCCCGCGCCGCTTGAGACCCCGCCCACTCTAGGCGCTCCGCTCCACCCGCTCGCTGCTCCGCAGCTGACTCCCCTAGAGACGGGAGGCTTGAATGCAAGGAAAAGGCAGACAGGTGTGGTGATCATGCCAACACCACGACCACTGTTCAGTGACCACGTGCTCTGCAAGGGCTCCACATCCGTCACAGTGTCCTTTAACATTACTGGGTGTTCTGGCACCAGGCATTTTATTATTTCTTTTTAGGTGAGAAAGCAGAGTGACCTGCCTAAGGCCACACGAGGGTAGAAGTGTCCACGCAGATTCAGGTCCCTGGAGCCACCCCAGCCAGACCTGGCTCCTGTTCTGAGGCTGGGGTAGGGAGAGGGTAGGAGGCTTTTAGGGCTGGAGCCTCAGTGTCTGCAGGAAGAGGGGCACCCCCATCCCTCGATCCCCAATCACAGTAGACATTGAAAGGCCCCTTGCTCTGAGCTGTCTGCCCTGCCTGCCACAGTGCTAGATCCCCACCCCTCAGGTCCTGGGCTGTGCTGCCGTTAGTCCTGGGCTGTGCCGCCGTTAGTCCTGGGCTGTCCCATGTGCATCTGGGCTTGTGTTGTGTGTGTGTGTATGTGTGTGCGTGCATCTGTGCACATGCCTGTTCGTTTCTGTGTAGGGGCATGGGGAGGACCCTTTTGAAGGGTTCAGCCTTCTGTGCTTTCCTACAACTGATGGAAGGCCTTGGGGATGGGAGGGAGACAGGAGTGAGTTCCTCCAGCTTCTTCTGTGCAGGGTTGGGATGGGTGTGGGAGGGTCCATGGCCTGGGTAGGAAGGGTGCCCATTCACCCTCTCCAGAGCCAGTGGAGGAGCCTCTTCTGCCTCCCACCTCCTCTTCCTCCTCTGCCTCTCGGCCTTTGCTGTCACCAAGGCCAAAGGGAGGCTTGCCGTGTGGGGTACATTGCACCTCCAGCATGCCTTCAGGCGTGAGGAGGCACCACAATCCTGGTAGGTGGAGGAAGGGGTGGGCCATTGTACAGATGAGAAAGCAGGCTCAGGAGGCTTGGACGAGTTTCTGAGGACAGGCAGTAGCAGAGCTGGGACCTGCTCTCCCCAACAGAGCTGTCTTCCTGAATCCGTCACCCCCGACCCTGCCTAGCCAGGCTCAGCACTGCCTCCTTGGAGGGCCGAGGCTGCTCCCACGCCTCTCAGGCAGGGCACAGATGGTGGGGTTTGTGGCTGTTGCATTTCTCGCCTTTGCCAGCTGGTGGCTCACTATCACCCTAGCATTCGTCAGGGCCCCTGCAGTGTGTCTCTGGGCTGCCAGAGACCGGGCCTCATTGTGCCAGCCCAGACGCACCGTGCCTGGTGCAGCCCTGCCTCGGGTGAGGGATGGTGGATGTGGCTGCCGTGTCCTTGAGCTCCAGGCATGGGGCTTATGCTCCCTGAGTGCTGTGGGTCACGCGGTGATGTGACCTCTTTTCAGGGGGCAATGGGCAGACCTAAGATAGGGAAGTCCAGAATCTCAGCTTCTGCTCCCTGCTCTACTGTCCCTTGCTGAGTGGGCCTTAGTTTCCCCCTTTGCCCTATGCACGTGGCAGTCTCACCTACCCTGGCCCAGATGTTCTGGGTGCTGACAAGTTCACCATTGAGTGAAAGGGCTGCGTGGACTCACAGACCCGCACTGCCTGTTCCTGCATGCATGGCCCACGCAGCTCCCGAGGACGGATGGTTGTCATGGTGTCACTGTGGTGCTGTTCTGACTTGGGGATGGCGCCACTGATGGGAGGGAGGCTGCATGGCAGCCCGCTGTCATGGGAGCCTCAGGGTGGGGCCCTGCAGCTGAGCCCCACCTTGGGGACCCTTCTCTGTCCACAGTGCCCCCCACTGAAGGGCAAGGTCCAGCGGATTCTACACTGGAGATGGACGGAGCCCCCTGCCCCCTTCATGGTTGGGCTGCCGGGGCCTGACGTGGAGCCCAGCCTCCCTCCACCCAAGCCGCTGGAGGGAATCCCCGAGAGAGAATTCTTTGTCAAGTGGGCAGGGCTGTCCTACTGGCACTGCTCCTGGGTGAAGGAGCTACAGGTTAGTGTCAGGCAGGGTGGCTGGGCCAAGGCCCATGACCTGGTGAGCCCTGGATCCTCCAGGGCTGGTGGGAAGGGGCGAAGCGCCTCTGACTTAGGGGTGCTGTTGTGAGTCGGGGGACTGCTGAAGGGGAGGATTGTCTTGCCTGGGACCTGGGCTGGGGCTAGGGGAGCTGGATAGGGAGATAGAGGGGGCCACGGCCCCTCTCCCTTCTGTGACTTGTGCCCCCTCTGTGAGCAGCTGGAGCTGTACCACACGGTCATGTATCGCAACTACCAAAGAAAGAATGACATGGACGAGCCGCCGCCCTTTGACTACGGCTCTGGGGATGAGGACGGCAAGAGCGAGAAGAGGAAGAACAAGGACCCCCTCTATGCCAAGATGGAGGAGCGCTTCTACCGCTATGGCATCAAGGCAGAGTGGATGATGATTCACCGAGTCCTGAACCATAGGTGTGTGCCTGCAGACGGCCGCCCTGCCCATTGCTGGGGCCAGGCCGCGTTAGCTCCTTTGCCCTGTAAAATGGGTGCAGGGCAGGGCTCCAGCGTCCTTGCTTTGGGGCTGCCATGCAGAACCACATGTGGGCATGGCAGGGGCACAAGGAAGGGGCCCAGGGCTCCTGCTGCTGGAGATCTGCCTGACCTGCTGGAGGGGCAGCCCCGTGCATGTCGGCACACTCATTTCCACATGTTCACACCCTTGGTGGGTCGGGACTGTCATGCTGGGTTAGTGCTTGTTACCAGCAGGCGGGTTCTAGGATGCGGGAGGCCTGAGGTGTGGGGAGTTTGTCCACATTTCCCCCACGTGTGTAACAGCAGCTAGCACTACTGAGCATGCCTACCCTAGGAGGGAGATGTCTTATTTTCACCTCTGTTTTACTGATGTGAGAATAGGCAGAATCACACAGCCATGGGGCGGAGCTGGGATTTGAACCCCACACTTTCTGATGGCAGGACCTACTTTCTTAGCAGGGCCCCAGGAGCAGGTCTTCCTGGAGCAGTCTGGACATTTCCGGGGATGCCTTAGCAATCAGAGTCTGCTGCAGGGAGCCTGAGGCAGGAGGCCCGTGGGCCTTGGTTTTGATTTGGTGGATGGGGGAACTCCTGCTGATTCTTGAGTTTAGGTGCTTGAGAACTGGTGGTGGCTGACAGATGGGCCTTGGGTCGGGCCCAGAGTACTTGCTGTGTGGTGGCAGCTTGAGCTTGCGCTTCCCACCCCGGTGACCCTGTGGCCTCTGACTTTGAGGGGCTTAGGATCTGGTGGCCTCTGCCACTCAGTGCTTCTGGCTTCAGGCAGCTGTTGGGCAGAGCAGAGGTTCAGAGCCTGAGCCAGATGTTCAGATTTCAATCCTGGCTCTTGACTGGTGGGCTTTGAGGCCCTTGTGGGGAACAGGCTGGTGTGAGGATGGGAGCTTGCCCAAGGCTGGCTGGAGGCGATCTTCAGTAGGAGGGGTGCGGAATTTTAAAAAGCTTCCCCCTTCAACTCTGGGACCCCCTCTTTTCCTCCTCATTCCTCCTGAGAATGGCCCTTCAAGCGTCAGCTCCTATGGGAACCTGAGCCCAGCAGTAAACTGGCTCACGGTTTTCTACCTTTACTAAATTGCATGCTAAAAATATACATGGTAATTTTTCTCTCTGCCCCAAAGTGGGACAGGTGAATTTCCCCCAGATTTATTCCTGCAATCTGCAAAACAATCAATTATGTATTGGAAAACAAACAAATACCGGTTTTCATGGTAACTGGGGATTGGTCTTTCTCTTGGCTCACTGCAACCTCTGCCTCTGGGGTTCAAGCAATTCTCCGGCCTCAGCCTCCCGAGTAGCTGGGACTGCAGGCACACGCCAGCACACCCAGCTAATTTTTGTATTTTTAGTAGAGACGGAGTTTCACCATGTTGGCCAGGATGGTCTCGATCTCTTGACCTCGCTATCTGCCTGCCTTGGCCTCCCAAAATGCTGGGATTACAGGCATGAGCCACCGCGCCCAGTCTGGTCTTTCTCTTAATGGCCCCCAGGCCCGCAGCAGCCGCTTCTCACCTGGTCTGTGCACCTGGGCACTGTGTGTCAGGGATCCATGCCCTGCCCCAGCCCTGCAGCACTCCTCTGGCCTGGTTTCCTTAGCCTGGGTGGGGTGGGAGGCCCTGAGGCCCCTCCCAGTGGCCAGAATCAAGCTGTGTGCTGCCGGGCTTGGTCACTGGGTCCCAGTGTCCCCAGAAGAGACTGCCTCACCTGCAGGAATTGCATCCTTATCTGCTCTGCAGAGACGGCTTCTCATCCTGCATGGGCACTGCAGGAGTCCTCTGGATATTTTAAGTTAGAAAACTGATTCCATGGGCAGGAAAGAGAATTTTCTAACTTAGAAATGCACAACTCCTGTGAAAACCCAGACCCCGTGCCAAATGGGATCATCCCTGCCACAGAGGCTGCAAAGGATGCTGGAGGCTGGCCCGTTGCTTCTCTGTTAGCTGGCTTCAGTGTCCCTCTCGGTCTCTGTCCCATCCGCCTCTCATTCACCGTGTGGTCTCAGGCAAGCTGCTGTGCCTCCCTGGAGCTTCTGCCCTAGTACCCTCCTCCTGGCTGGGCCTGGGATCTGAGGGCACCCTGGGTGTGGAGGCTCTGCATCCTGGGAGGTGCCCTTCATCAAACCCGTGTGGTGGCCACTGCCCTGAGTGACCCACATCTGTTCACTGTGTTGCAGCTTTGACAAAAAGGGGGATGTGCACTACCTGATCAAGTGGAAAGACCTGCCCTACGACCAGTGCACCTGGGAGATCGATGACATCGACATACCCTACTACGACAACCTCAAGCAGGCTTACTGGGGCCACAGGTGGGCCTCGGGGATCCGGCTGCTGGGCACGGGCTGCCGGGGCCTGCTCCTGGGCTGCGCCCTGCTCACCTGCGTCCAATGCCTTTTCCCAGGGAGCTGATGCTGGGAGAAGACAGCAGGCTGCCCAAGAGGCTGCTCAAGAAGGGCAAGAAGCTGAGGGATGACAAGCAGGAGAAGCCTCCGGACACGCCCATTGTTGATGTGAGTGGGGAGGGCGGGGCAGCAGTGGGCGGGGTTGCCAGGGCCTGCCCATCCTAGACTTGAACGCGCAGTGGGCGTGTGTTCTCAAAAGGACGTTTTCTTGGGCCCTCATGGCTTATGCACACAGCGTCGTGCCCATGTAGGCTAGGACAGCTGGAAGGTCCCTCCTAGCACTGCAGCACTCTCAGCGGGGAGGAGACCCAGGGCAACTCACTCAGCAGAGCTCCCTGGGTGTCCGCTAGTGCCTGGCCCTGGCTTGGCCCTCAGTAGAAGAGGGACAGTGAGCCCTGGGCAGCTGTTTCAGAAGACACATTGTCTTCTAGGGGCCTGTGGCAGGTATCCACAGAACTCGGAGGGCCTGGCCTGGGACTATCCCGCGCCTGTCAGATGCTGGGGAAAGGCGGGTGGGTCTGGTCCATGGGGAGGACTGCATAGGGGCCATGACCTTGAGCAGTATCAAGAGGCAAATGGGCCAGGCACAGTGGCTCAGGCCTGTAATCCCAGCACTGTGGGGCGTGGGAGGACCGCTTGAACCCAGAAGTTTGAGGCAACATAGTGAGATCCCACCTCTGCAAAAAATTAAAAAATTAGCCAGGCATGGTGGTGTTCTTGTGGTCGCAGCTACTAGGGAGGCTGAGGTAGGAGAATCCCTTGAGCCCAGGATATTGAGGCTGCAGTGAGCCACGATCGTGGCACCGCACTCCAGCCTGGGCAACAAAGACTCTGTCTCAAAAAAAAAAAAAAAAAAAAAAAAAAGCAAACGTCTGGATCGAGTGGAGGAGCCAGTTACTGGGGCCATTGAGAGTGCCCCAGATAGACATTTGTTTTTGTTGTTCACCCAACAAATAGTGAAGAAGTGACCACATGACCCAGTCCCTGTATGGGGCTCTAGAGGAGGCAGTGAACAGGACCAAGGTGGTGATGACAACCTGGGCTCAAAGTCAGAGACTTCAGCAGTTGGGAAATTTCCCTGAGAAGGAGAAGTATAGGGCCGCCATGGGAGGACATTGTGGGAACACTTCAGCCGGGGTGGGAGTCCGGGAGAGCTTCCTGGAGGAAGAGGCATTCCATCCAAGATATGAAGAGGAGTTAGAAAGACAGGGAAGAGTGGGAAGAGTGTTCCAGGCAGAAGGAATTGCATGTGCAGAGGCCTCTAGGGTGGACTCTGGTGGCCCAGGATTTGGGGCATGTCTGAACTGCTGCCCCTCCTGCAGCCCACGGTCAAGTTCGACAAGCAGCCGTGGTACATCGACTCCACGGGCGGCACGCTGCACCCGTACCAGCTGGAGGGCCTCAACTGGCTGCGCTTCTCCTGGGCCCAGGGCACTGACACCATCCTGGCCGATGAGATGGGTTTGGGCAAGACGGTGCAGACCATCGTGTTCCTCTACTCCCTGTACAAGGAGGTGGGCAGGTGGGGTGGGTGGCCAGGAGGTGGGGGCCGGTCCTGGCCGAGGGTGGGCAGTCTCACGGTATTGGCCCCTCTCTCCAGGGCCATTCCAAGGGGCCCTACCTGGTGAGTGCGCCCCTCTCCACCATCATCAACTGGGAACGCGAGTTTGAGATGTGGGCGCCCGACTTCTACGTGGTCACCTACACGGGGGACAAGGAAAGCCGCTCTGTGATCCGGGAGAACGAATTTTCCTTTGAGGACAATGCCATTCGGAGTGGGAAGAAGGTGTTCCGCATGAAGGTGGGGGCTCGCCATCCTTGGAAGGACGGTAGGGAGGCCCCGGGTCTGGTTTGGGGACCACAGGTGCCCTGCCCTCCTTTGGGGTCCCTCAGCCGGGAGGGCTGCTGAGGCCGGCAGGCTCTGAAGGGCTTGTCCTAGAGGCAGAATTACCACCGTGTCAGTTTTCTGGGCCTCCTGTAACAAGTGTCACAAATGGAGTGGCTTCAAACAGCAGAAATGCATTCTGTCACAGTTCTGGAGGGCCTTCTGCCTCTGAAGGCTGTAGGGGAGGACTCTTCCTTCCTCCTTCCAGCTTCCTGGTGGCAGCAGACGTTCATTGGCCTACAGCTGTGTCACATCAGTTTCTGCCTCTGTTAGCACATGGGGTTTTCCCCTTCGTGTCTCTCTTGTCCTAGAAAGACATCATTCATACTGGATTTAGGGCCCACCCCAATCCAGTGTGACCTCATCTTAGCTAATTATTATTTAATTTATGTATTTATTTTTCTGAGACAGGATGTCACTGTGTTACCCCGGCTGGAGTGCAGTGGGACCATCTCGACTCACTGTAATCTCCCCCTCCCGGGTTCAAGTGATTCTCCCACTTCAGCTTTGTGAGTAGCTGGGTCTCCAGGAGCACACCATCACACCTGGCTAATTTTTGTATTTTTTGGTAGAGACAGGTTTCACCATGTTGGACAGGCTGGTCTTGAACCCCTGACCTCAAGTGATCTGCCCTTCTCAGCCTCCCAGAGTGCTGGGATTACAGGAGTGAGCCACCGCACCTGGCTCCAATTAGTTATTATTATTTTTTGAGACGGAATCTCACTCTGTTGCCCAGGCTGGAGTGCCGTATGGCACAATCTCAGGTTACTGCAACCTCTGCCTCCAGGTTCAAGCAATTCCCATGCCTCAGCTTTTTAGAGTGGCTGGGATTACAGGCATGCGACACCATGCCCAGCACATTTTTTTTTTGTATTTTAATAGAGACATTTGGTTTCCTTGTTCTCCACACCACCCTTCTCCTCCACACATGACCCATGTTGTCCAGGCTAGCCTTAAATTCCTGAGATTAGGCGATCTGCCTGCATCGGCTTCCCAAAGTGTTAGGATTACAGGCGTGAACCACCATGCCTGGCCTGAGCGTCTACATTGCTAAACACTCTCCACATTGAGGAGCAAGGACTTGCAGCCGTTGGCCCCTGGAAAACATGAGCGCTGCGGCCTTGGGGGCTGGTAGACCCTCTCACAGGCCCTTGGGCTTTCCCATGGCGGCTTTCTCCACCGTCTCCTGGCAGTTGTGGCATTTAGGAGATGCTTGGAAACTGCTGAATGAGTGAACGAGTCCGTGATCCCACAGGTGACTTTGTAGATGGATGAGCCCCTGGATCAGACAGACATAAAAAGAACCTCCCCTGAGCCCACACGGGATCCTGCTGTGTGCCAAGCACTCCGCTGATTTGGCTTTTCTATTATATATTTACTGTTTAATTATTTTATTGTTAAAAGTTGTGGTAAAAAAACACATGATGTAAAATTGACTGTTTTAACCATTTTTAAGAGGACAGTTGAGCTGGGCGTGGTGGTGTGTACCTGTAGTCTTGGCTACTTGGGAGGCTGAGGCAGGAGGATTGCTTGAGCCCAGGAGTTCGAGGCTGTAGTGTGCTATGACCGCATCTGTGAACAGCCATTATACTCTTCCCCAGGCAACACAGTGAGACTCCGTCTCTTAAAAACAAAAACAAAAACAGCCAGGCGTGGTGGTGGCTCATGCCTGTAATCCCAGCACTTTGGGAGGCTGAGGCAGGCAGGTCACCTGAGGTCAGGAGTTTGAGACCAGCCTGGCCAACATGGTGAAACCCCATCTCTACTAAAAATAACAAAAATTAGCCAGGTGTGGTGGTGCATGTCTGTAATCCCAGCTACTCAGGACGCTGAGGCAGGAGAATTGCTTGAACCTGGGAGGTGGAGACTGTAGTGAGCCAAGATTACGCCATTGCACTCCAGCCTGGGTGACAAGAGAGAAACTCTGTCTCAAAAACACAAAACAAAAAACCCAACCAGAAAAAAAAAAAAGTTCAATAGTGTTAAGTACATTCACATTTTTTTTTCTTTTTTTTTTTTTAAACAATAACTCCGGAGAATATACCAAGTAACAGTCACATTATTATGCAGCCTATCTCTAGAAATCTTTTCGTCTTGCAAAATGGAAACGCTGCCCCCATTAGACATGAGCATCCTCCGCCACCTCCAGCCCCTGCAGCCACCATTCCACTGTCTCTACGAGGTTGACCACTCTGGGTACTTCATATGAGTAGAATCAAGAAGCATTTGTCTTTTTGTGACTGGCTCATTTTACTGAGCAGAATGTCCTTGGGGTCCATGCATGTTGTAGCACGGGTCAGAATTTCCTTCCAAGGCTGGAGAACATTCCATCACACGGACAGACCACGTTTTGTCTATTTGTCTGTTGAGGGGCACATGGGTTGCTTCTGGCTTTTAGGGAAGCAGTATGGATGTGCAGACATCCCTTTGGGTCCCTGCTTTCACTTCTTTTGTGTGGAACTGCCGGATCATATGGAAATTCTTGTTTTGATTTTTTGAGGCGCAGGCTTAGCTCTTTGAGTTCTCGTTGCAGGTGAGCCGTGATGGCACCCCTGCACTCCAGGCTTGGGGGTGGGAGTGAGACCCTGTCTCATTGCTGCTGTTAGGAGTGGAGGCCATCGCCACTGTAGTCTGTTTCCTTCTCCTCCACACCACCCTCTCCCAGGGCTGTGCTCTGGGCCTCGGTGGATGCCCCTCTGCTCGGTGGCCAGCATCTGCCCCTCTGGTCCAAGGCTGGCTGGCCTGGGGCTCCCTGGAGCCTGTGTGGGTTCATGTGCCCACCTCCTTCTTGGCTCTGTGTCCTCGGACTGTGATCCGCCTGCTCTGCTCCCAGCCGTCTCCTCCCCAATGCCCCTCTTTTCTCCAGAAAGAAGTGCAGATCAAATTCCATGTGCTGCTCACCTCCTACGAGCTCATCACCATCGACCAGGCCATCCTGGGTTCCATCGAGTGGGCCTGCCTGGTGGTGGATGAGGCCCACCGCCTCAAGAATAACCAATCCAAGGTAGGTCGCACCAGCCGCCAGACCCCAGAGCCGCCCGGGGTGAGGGGCCGCCCAGAGCCCCCTGACAGGCCCCCTTCTCCTCTCCTCAGTTTTTTAGGGTCTTAAACAGCTACAAGATTGATTACAAGCTGCTGCTGACAGGGACACCCCTTCAGAACAACCTGGAGGAGCTGTTCCATCTCCTCAACTTCCTGACTCCAGAGAGGTTCAAGTGAGTCATGTGGATCCGGCTGGGGGAGGTGGTGGTGGGGCTGGGGTGGCCCCAGTGAAGACGGATCAATAGCCCATCCCGGCTGTGAGATCTGCTTGGCTGTAGCTTCCTCATTAGTAAAATGAGAGCGTTAAGTGATGTCCCTGCTTTGACCTCCTGCAGGAGCAGGGTGTTGGGGTGGGTGGCACAGGCAGACAGGGATGTTTGATAAATAGAAACTGCTGCCAAGATCGCGACTTTTCTTTTTTTTTTTTTTTGAGACGGAGTTTCACTCATGTTACCCAGGCTGGAGTGCAATGGCGTGATCTCGGCTCACCGCAACCTCTGCCTCCTGGGTTCAGGCAATTCTCCTGCCTCAGCCTCCTGAGTAGCTGGGATTACAGGCACGCACCACCATGCCCAGCTAATTTTTCGTATTTTTAGTAGAGACGGGGTTTCACCATGTTGACCAGGATGGTCTCGATCTCTTGACCTCGTGATCCACCCGCCTCGGCCTCCCAAAGTGCTGGGATTACAGGCTTGAGCCACCGCGCCCGGCGCGCGACTTTTCTTTAGCTCTGCCCTAGATCACCCGGGGCCCCTTCCGGGCTCCTATCCCTGCCTCTACTCCCCTGGCAGGTTCCCTTCCCTCTGCTGAGACCCAGGTGACTAACATGGGCAACTGTGGTAGAGGCAGAGGCAAGCACCTGGGGGCCGGAACCCACTGCCCCAGCTTCCTAATCTTCACCTACCTCCGTTTTCCTGCTCAGAATTGGGGGTTCAGGGTGCAGAGTGCCGAGTTTGGAATCAGGCGATGTAGATTTATTTATTAATTTATTTTTTAGAAAGAGTCTCGCTCTGTTCCCCAGGCCGGAGTGCAGTGGCTTGATCACAGCTCACTGCAACCTCTGCCTCCTGGGCTCAAGCGATTCTCCTGCCTCAGCCTCCCGAGTAGCTGGGATGACAGGCGAGTGCCACCATGCTCGGCTAATTTTTGTGTGTTTTTGGTAGAGACGGGTTTCACCATATTGGACAGGCTGGTGTCGACCTCCCAATCTCAGGTGACCCACCTTGTCTCTGCCTCCCAAAGTGCTGGGATTACAGGTGTGAGCAACCAGGAGATGTAGATTTGATGGCAGGTTTTGGCACAGCTGGACTGTATCAACTCAGGCACTCATCAGACTCAGTTTCCTCATCTGTTATCTGGGTAACAGAGAGCTCCTGTCCAGGACGGTTTTGAGGGTGGAAAGGTGTCCAGTGTCGCCGAGGAAGAGAGGGCTGTGATGTGTGGGGGCGACACAGGCTTAGACCGAAGTTCAGAAGAAAGGCAGGGCAATGCCAGGGCTCCCTGGCCCACCAGCCAGCCGGCCGACACGGGCTGGGCGCTCAGCACCCTGCCTCTTCTGCCCCGGTTCTCTGCTACTGCTTGTTATCTCAGCTCTTTGTTGCAGCAACCTGGAGGGCTTCCTGGAGGAGTTTGCTGACATCTCCAAGGAAGACCAGATCAAGAAGCTGCATGACCTGCTGGGGCCGCACATGCTCAGGCGGCTGAAGGCTGACGTGTTCAAGAACATGCCGGCCAAGACTGAGCTCATTGTCCGCGTGGAGCTGAGCCAGATGCAGAAGTGAGTGGCGGGCTGACCTGGAGCCGCCTGTGTGCCCCTTCCACTGGCCTGGTCTCCTGGGTTGCTTCCCAGGTGGGCTCTTCAGCCTCACTGAGGCCTGGGCTCATGCTTTGCATACGCTTTCTTCTTGGGGCCTCCTCTCAGGTTTTAGTGACCAGAGTTTGGGCCACTTGAGTTCTAGCAGTGTCCCCGAATCATTTGCAGGGGGACTCCAGGCCAGTGGCTTCCCTTCTTGGGGCTCCCTTAAGTCTCCCTATAAACGGGTGCTTGGCCACCAGCTTCCAGCCCTGCTACAGGGCAGAGAGAGCCCCCTCAGAGGCGGGTCTGATCAGGTGCACCCAGCCTGCCTTTCCCCGTTCTCCGCTGCAGGAAGTACTACAAGTTCATCCTCACGCGGAACTTCGAGGCGCTGAACTCCAAGGGAGGCGGGAACCAAGTGTCGCTGCTCAACATCATGATGGACCTGAAGAAGTGCTGCAACCACCCCTACCTCTTTCCTGTGGCCGCCGTGGTAGGTTCCCCCCGGCCATCATGGCGGGTTCTCCATGGCCGCTGTGGTAGGTGCCTGTGGCAGCTGTGGTAGGTCCCTGTGGCCGTTGTGATAGATTCTCTGGCCATCGTGGCGGGTTCTCTGTGGCTGCCGTGGTAGATTTCCCTGGCCATCATGGTAGGTTGCCTGGGGCCGCTGTGGTAGGTTCCCCCCGGCCATCATGGCAGGTTCTCCATGGCCGCTGTGGTAGGTGCCTGTGGCCGCTGTGGTAGGTGCTGGGGAACCTACCATGGAACCCACTGCTGTGGTAGGGCTGGTGTGGCTGTGAGCCCTGCCTGGGGACAGGGGGCCTGGAGCCAGGGCCATGGGACCCACAGTCTACCCCACACTGTGGAGCCTGGCCTGGCTCAGGTGTGGGTCTTATATTCAGTGGGTCAGACAGGCCGTCACCCCATTGCTTGGCACCTGTCTGTTCCCTGCGGCCCCTTTGGTGCAGAGTCAGAGAGGAGAGGGAAGCCCACCAATGCCCCACCTCCTGCTATGTCTGCAGGAGGCCCCCGTCTTGCCCAATGGCTCCTACGATGGAAGCTCCCTAGTCAAGTCTTCAGGGAAGCTCATGCTGCTGCAGAAGATGCTGAAGAAGCTGCGGGACGAGGGGCACCGCGTGCTCATCTTCTCTCAGGTGCATGTCCCCGCCCCCTCTGCCCTGGCTCCATGCCCCACAGAGAGCGTCCTGCCCTGATGCTTGGGGGCGCAATCTTGCTGGCATCTTTCAGGGCTCAGTGCTGGTCCCATGTGGGTCATGTGACTGTGTGTCAGGGGTCACTCCCATGCCCTGGCGTGGTGCAGCTGAGGAGCTAAGAGCACATTTGCTGTAAGGAGCACCTGCCCTTCTGGTCTGCCTGTCCAGGCTGGTTGGACAGCTCCCTCCTCCCCTGGCCCTCTCCCCTGCAGCCTGGCTTCTCATTAAGGGGGGGGCCCTGGGGTGGGGTCGGGAGGATCCCGTCTCTAACAGGTCCTGAGGGGCCACTGGCACCTGGCTTTTTGGCTTGGCGGCAGGGCTGCTGGCCTCTGATGTGTTCATTTCTTCCTCCATCCCTTTGTTTGCATCTGTCATAGTCAGGCTCTGTGCTGGCACATGGGTGCAGGGACCAGTGATCTAGTCCTTTGTCCTCCAGCTGCTCAGTCTACTGTAGGAGACAGTCACGGGACAGGCACCCAGCCCTGTAGTCAGCTCTGTGTTGGAGGCCACAGTGATGACCCTGCAGAGTCACGGGATTAAAAATACCCCTCTCGGCCAGGCGCGGTGGCTCACGCCTGTAATCCCAGCACTTTGGGAGGCCAAGGCAGGTGGATCACAAGGTCAAGGTATCGAGACCATCCTGGTCAACATGGTGAAACCCCGTCTCTACTAAAAATACAAAAAATTAGCTGGGCATGGTGGCGCATGCCTGTAATCCCAGCTACTCAGGAGGCTGAGGCGGGAGAATTGCCTGAACCCAGGTGGCGGAGGTTGCGGTGAGCCGAGATTGTGTTGTTGCACTCCAGCCTGGGTAACGAGAGCGAAACTCCGTCTCAAAAAAAAAAAAAAAAATACCCCTCTCGTGGCTGACTGAGCCAGGCCCTTGCTCAAAGCCAGAGTCTGGGCTATGGCTCCTCGTGCACAAACATCAACTGAAAGCGGCGTCCACAGCCTGTAGCCTCAGGTCACAGTATTCCGAAGAATGCTGGAAAGCAGGGCAAACTTGAGACCAGGGGCTGAGCCAAGGAGTCTCCTGGAGTGGAGATGGCTCCACATCCCCCCCACACCTTGGTACCAACACGAGACACAAATCTGGTCAGAGGCCTTGAGAGATCAAGTAACGGGAACCACACAGCTTCCAGAAATGTGCACACAGGGCAAGCGACAGAGACGGGTCCCTCCTGCCCAAAATGAGCCTATGAACTCTAATTCCAAACCCATAGAAAAGCGAATGCCAAGACATCCCCCAAAGTGATAAATAGAATCCAAATTAAAAAATAAGGGCTGGGTGCAGTGGCTCACCCTGTAATCTCAATGATTTGGGAGGTTGAGGTGGAAGGATTGCTTGAGCCCAGGAGTTCACTGTTGCAGTGAGCTATGATCTTGCCAATTGACTCCAGTCTGAGTGACAGAGCAAGATCGTGTCTCTTTTTTTATCTTTTCTTTTGAGACGGAGTCTTGCTCTGTTGCCCGGGCTGGAGTGCAGTGGCGCAATCTCAATTTACTGCAACCTCTGCCTCCTGGGTTCAAATGATTCTCCTGCCTCAGCCTCCTGAGTAGCTGGGACTACAGGCGCATGTCACCACGCCCAGCTAATTTTTTTGTATTTTTAGTAGAGACAGAGTTTCACCATGTTAGCCAGGGTGGTCTCGATCTCCTGACCTTGTGATCCACCTGCCTCCATCTCCCAAAGTGCTGGAATTACAGGTGTGAGCCACAGTACCCGGCCCTGACCCTGTCTCTTAAAAGATAGAGAGAGAAAAATAATAAGATAACCTGAAAAGACTTTATATAGATGTGATTAAGATCCTCAAAAATAATGGAGTAATTGACACCCTAAAATAAGAAATTAAGCAAAATCAGGAAGAGCTGAAATAGGAACAATTGGATGGAAACATGATATGCGTGAAATTGAAATAAAAACATTTCAACAGACTGGACAAACTGAACACTGTTGAAGAGAACATTGATGAACTGAAACCTGGTGCTGAGGCATTTCCCCAGAATGCACTGTACAGGGACAGAGATAAAACAGAGAAAATATGGAAGATACCTTGAGATGCTCCAACAATCATCCAATTGGAGTTGCAGAAAAAAATAGAAAAAATGGTGAAGAAGTTGGATTTGTTGAGAGTTTGCAAACCTAGAGAGATTTGAGGTCTCAGATCTGGAGTGCATTCTGGAGTACCAAGCAAGATAAATACAAATAAATGAACCCCTAGACACTTTAGAACCCCTAGGTACTTTAGATCTAGCATCTACAAAATAAGGGCAACCAGATTGTTCTCAGACTTCTCAGCAACAACAGGTGGCAAAGACCATGGCAAAATCTCCAGTGCCCTGAGGGAACATATGTGCTGATAGTTTTATACCCAGCTAAACTATCCCTCAAGAATAAAGGGAATTACACGGGGTGATGGAGCTCAGAAAGGACTGCTTTTCTTTTCTCATGGAGAGGAGTGAAATCAGGGAAGACATCACAGAGGTGATGTTTGTGTTTTCCAGGAACAGAGTCAGGTAGTTTGGAATGGCTGGGGGCTGTAAAGGAGCATTAGTCCTGCAGAGCTTTGAATGCAGGGCAAGGAGATGGAACTTAATTCTGTGTGGTGGGAGCAGGGAAGCTCATGTCAGAGCCCTGATTTAGGCAGGTCACTGTGGGGGTGGTTGGGAGGATGGATTGACTCTGAGGGGTGAGGGTGGAAACTATGTTCTTCCCCAGAGTCCTGCATTGGGTCTGCCTGGATCTCAGCTGTCTCCCTACCCAGCAGGCGGCTCTCTGGGACCGTGGGGTCCCTGCCCATGGCCTATTAGGACCCTTGCTCCTTGGCAGTTCCTCACGTGCCTGTCTCCCCCGCAGATGACCAAGATGTTGGACCTGCTGGAGGACTTCCTGGAGTACGAAGGCTACAAGTATGAGCGGATTGACGGCGGCATCACTGGGGGCCTCCGACAGGAGGCGATCGACAGATTCAATGGTACCCCATCCTGCCCAGGGGCTCTGATTGGGACCCCTTTTTGGCCTCTTCTCCCAGGCCAGGTTCTTAGCCAGGCCACCCAGCCAGTGTTGTGTCATCAGCCCCACACATAGCTGAAGACAGCAGGCTAGTCCTGAGGTCACGGTAGCTTCCCCTGAGCTTCCAGTGTTAAAAGGATTCTTCCCATGGAATCGGAGTTCCGAGGGGCCCAGTAGATAACACCTGTTGGGAACAGAGTGAGAAACAGACAATGCAGATGGGGGCCTCTAATACTGACACCAGGTAAGCCCCAGTTATAAGCGGTGCTGGACAGAGCCTGCTGTATGGTGAATGGTGGCAGGAGGTACAGAGATGCACGTGCTGCCTGGGGCCACTTCCAGAGGCAGGACAGAGTGAAGGGGCCGGGCCACACATGATCAGGTTCTTCGCCAGAATCACCCATGCTTGGTCTTCCCCATCTGGGAGGGAGAGGCAAGGGTGGAGGCCAGGAGGGTCTTGCCCATGGAGCTCCCTCTGTAGCAAAGGAAACTTCTGGAGCGGGGAGCACTCAGCTGCAAGCTTTAGGAGCAAGTTTGCAGCAAATAGCAACAAGCTTTGTTTCCCTGGGGCTTTGGGCCTTAGAAAGAGGCTGGGGCCACGCTACCCAAACACCCAAAGCAGTGCTTCCTCTCACACACTCATGCCAGAGAGCCAGGAGAAATAGCAAGTTCAGAGTTTTGGGGTCTAGACGTGGCCCAGCCACATGTGGAAGCAGGAGTGGCTGGGGGGCGGGGGGCCTGTTTGCAGCTCCAGTGGGGGCTGTGGTCAGTCCCAGGTCACTGAAGGGCCCTGAGAGGCTGAGAATCAGCCGTCCTGTGACAGGGTTGCCCAGCAGGGTGGCACCCCAGGCCCCAGAGCTGTGCCTGAGTGTTCCCTGGCCACTCTGGTGGCATTGATGGGCTAAGGGAAGCCGGGGTGGGGAGCTGGGGGGACATGGAGGACTGAGCTTTCTGGAGGCTCTGCGTGCACTTGCTGGCTGCTTGCACTTTTTTTTTTTTTGAGACGGAGTTTCGCTCTTCTTACCGAGGCTGGAGTGCAGTGGAGTGATCTCGGCTATGCCCAGCTAATTTTATATTTTTAGTAGAGACAGGGTTTCTCCATGTTGGTCAAGCTGGTCTTGAACTCCCAACCTCAGGTGATCCGCCTGCCTCAGCCTCCCAAAATGCTGGGATTACAGGCATGAGGCACTGTGCCTGGCCAAACAACCACTTTATTTTTTGCTCATCTGGGATTTGAAAATTGACCTCCTCTTCATTCTAGCACCCTCCCATTGGGCCAGGGCTCAGAGCACCGCCGGGGCTAAGTGGGCTTGAGCGGGCCTTCTCTGGTTCCCCTGAGTGCAGCTGTGGCCTCTCATCTCTGATGGGGTCTCTTGCTTTGTAATTCTCTGCCAGGGACCTGTTGCTGCAGTTCCTTCCCTCTGTTCTCCCCGCTGCTTCTTTCTGCCACCCGCTTCTCCCCACCCAAGGTGTACTCCCTCAAACACCCCATCTGCTGGCCTCTCTTTTTCAGCCCCTGGGGCCCAGCAGTTCTGCTTCCTCCTCTCAACCCGGGCAGGTGGCCTGGGTATCAACCTGGCCACGGCGGACACTGTCATCATCTACGACTCGGACTGGAACCCGCACAATGACATTCAGGTCTGTGTCACTGCCGCCACCCTCCCAGGGCTCTCTCACCCCAGGCCTTGGGCAGGTTCTCCTGTCCTTCATGGCCTCCTGGGCACAACCTCCACACCTCCTGGTGCTGTGGGCCTCCCTCCCTCGTGGAGTCTCGGCCCCACAAGGGGCCCTGGGAATGAGTGGAAGCTTGGCCCCCATCCCTCCAGCTCTGTCCTCATCCAGAGGAGGAAACGGGCTTGGAGAGGGCAGGGGAAGTGTCCAAGGGCACACCGCAGTCCGTGGTGGCCACTGATTCTGGTCTTTCCCATCACCGTCAGGACCAAGGCCATGGAGGGAGGCAGGATGAGGGAGTCCTGGGACCCAGAGGGGCATCCATTTTGGAGGGGATGGGGAGCATAGAGTGGGCCTGTCGGAGGTGGGGGGAGGATGAGATGGTGCAAGGGGCAAATGGGGTTGACAAGGAAGGATGGGAGGGATGTGGGGGGTGGGCCTATGGGAATAGAGCTACCCTGATGGCCCTGGCCACCCCACTCGGGGCCTAGGACACACACATGGAACGTTTACACACGTAGGGGAACATATAAAAAGTGATGTCTCTCATTCATATGTGTATGCACCCATGCACACACACAGATATTCATGGTCACATCTGGGTCACCTCATGCAGGGCTGCAGAGAGTCTCTGGGACTTCCCTGTATTACACTGGGCAGATTCAGCTCCTTGCTGCCCTCGGAAGGTGGCTGTGCATCTCCAGCACGTGGTCTTGTGGTTCCATTAGTGGCTGGCTCATAGAGAAATGCAGCCCCCTACCTCCCCAGGGCCCCCATGAAGTTCTGGGTGGTGTCAGTTACACCCAGCACACGGCTGTGTCATCCCTCACACACCCTTGCACACCTGCAGTCCTGGCTGCTTCCACTGGGAGCTTTTCCACTCCCAACCCAGCCCAGCACCCAGGCTCGTGGGAGGCTTCGCAGTCGGGGAGGGAGCCCAGCTGCAGTGGTGCATGCACCACATGCCTCTCCCTACCGTCATGCAGCCCATTCCATGCTCTTGAGCTCATGGGTGTGACCCCCTCCATTGCCTGGAGCCCTGGGTGAGCCACGGGTGCTGAGCTGCAGGTCTCCCCAGGCCTTCAGCCGTGCCCACCGCATCGGGCAGAACAAGAAGGTGATGATCTACCGCTTCGTGACTCGGGCCTCAGTGGAGGAGCGCATCACGCAGGTAGCCAAGCGCAAGATGATGCTCACCCACCTAGTGGTGCGGCCTGGTCTCGGCTCCAAGTCAGGCTCCATGACTAAGCAGGAGTTGGACGACATCCTCAAGTTCGGCACGGAGGAGCTCTTCAAGGACGACGTGGAGGGTGGGCCTCTGTCCCGAGGGAGCGTGGTGGGGCCTGGGGTCATGCTGCTGAGACACCCATCCATGGCTTGATGGGGTCCCTGCCCGTTCCAACACGCACAGCCTCTCTCCTGCACGCCCACCGGTGTCTCTTGGCCAGGGCAGCCCAGGGTGGTGTCTCTGGGCACTGCCCATCCACCCTGTAGCCCTCTGTGCTCCTGCACCAGCGCCCTCCTCTCTGCCCAACAGGCATGATGTCTCAGGGCCAGAGGCCGGTCACGCCCATCCCTGATGTCCAGTCCTCCAAAGGGGGAAACTTGGCTGCCAGTGCAAAGAAGAAGCACGGTAGCACCCCGCCAGGTAGGGGCCAACCCACCCCAACCCCAGCTCCTCCTCCAACCAGGCGGCTGCTCCTGGAGAGGAGGGGTTCCCCGACACACCCTCACTTGGGTGTCCTGGGACTGCCGGGTGGGCGGGGAGTGGGGCTGTTGCAGCCCGATTTCCTCTGTCGGGTCAACACGCCCCTCAGCTGCAGCCCCTGGGGGGGATGGGAAGGGCCACTGTTGGGAGTCTGTTCCCAGGTCCCCCGGGGTGGACCAGGGCAGTCTTTGTCCCCACACCGCACTTGCCTGCTCCCCAGGTGACAACAAGGATGTGGAGGACAGCAGTGTGATCCACTATGACGATGCGGCCATCTCCAAGCTGCTGGACCGGAACCAGGACGCCACAGACGACACGGAACTACAGAACATGAACGAGTACCTGAGCTCTTTCAAGGTGGCGCAGTACGTGGTGCGCGAGGAGGACGGCGTGGTAAGGTCCCCGGCCCGCCCTCCAGCCGCAGCCCCGCTCTCCACCGTGACCACGCCCTCCACTGTGATCCCGCCGTACCGCCGCAGCCCCGCTCCCGCCGCAGCCCCGCCCTCCACACTGTAACCCCGCCCTCCAGCCTCAGCCCCGCCCTCCAAGCTTTAACCCCGCCCTCCAGCCTCAGCCCCGCCCCAACCACAACCCCGCTCTCTGCGTTATGATCCCGCCCTCCAGCCTCAGCCCCGCCCCAGCTGCAGCCCCCTCC